ACAAGTGGTTTATCTTCATGGAATACATATGCTAGTGATATAATGTGTTTTGAAAGAGGCAAACTACCCATTTGAATTTGTGCGAAAATGCTTTGTATTCCTATATTTATATTTCAGTCATGTATTAGAACAACATAAGGTAAATAGAAATAATATATAAATTTAAGCGATAAGAAATCCCAAACAGACTCCGATTATATCATAAATATGTGTTCATGAATCACTATCAAATAGTGATGATACCAGGTGTTTGGGAAAGGTGAGCGTATCCTGCACTACATGTGACAATCATTACAAACACTTGCAAAAGCAAGGCAAATGTTCACCTGAAAAAAAACACATAGATATAAGTCACAAAATAGAACTGAAATGAATCATGTTGGTCAATGCGATTATATCATAAATATGTGTTCATGAATCACTATCAAATAGTGATGATACCAGGTGTTTGGGAAAGGTGAGCGTATCCTGCACTACATGTGACAATCATTACAAACACTTGCAAAAGCAAGGCAAATGTTCACCTGAAAAAAACACATAGATATAAGTCACAAAATAGAACTGAAATGAATCATGTTGGTCAATGCGATTATATCATAAATATGTGTTCATGAATCACTATCAAATAGTGATGATACCAGGTGTTTGGGAAAGGTGAGCGTATCCTGCACTACATGTGACAATCATTACAAACACTTGCAAAAGCAAGGCAAATGTTCACCTGAAAAAAACACATAGATATAAGTCACAAAATAGAACTGAAATGAATCATGTTGGTCAATGCGATTATATCATAAATATGTGTTCATGAATCACTATCAAATAGTGATGATACCAGGTGTTTGGGAAAGGTGAGCGTATCCTGCACTACATGTGACAATCATTACAAACACTTGCAAAAGCAAGGCAAATGTTCACCTGAAAAAAACACATAGATATAAGTCACAAAATAGAACTGAAATGAATCATGTTGGTCAATAATGCGTTAAATTTGGAAATGTCTCAACCAAATTATCGTGAGCAGTCATCCAACCAATTAGGATCACATTAAAGTCATTGTGGATGCTGTCGAAGCATATGCCAACAAATGGGCCACAAGAGAAGAGGAACCTGTTTAATGTCTTTTAGTGTGGTCTACGTCGGTGCGTGATGTTGTCTTTGGTAGGCTTCACACACTGAAACTGGAGCAGAAGTTTTCCAAAGCTGACATAAAACGTTTGTAGTTGTTTCCACTAAGAAGGCTTCAGATAACCTTTATATGTAAGCATCACCATATTAACTGTTTGATGAAAGAGAACATGGTATAATGACATGACATGCATCAACCATGTCAGCGGGCCTGACCACACGATCCCGTTGGCCGCCACTTACGACAAGCATAGTCGCCTTTTACGGCAAGCTTGGGTTAATGAAGACCTATTCTATCCCGGATCTTTACGGGCCCGAAAGCTTCATAAAATCCCTACAAAGATAGATATATTTCTGAGTCCAGTAAATGTACCCCCAAATCCCTGTTTCAAAGATTAACCGTAATCCTTAATACAATCAAGGAAGGTATTTCTGTATATTCACAGAAAGTATTTGTGGATTTAATACCATGTGGATTCTCAAAAACAATAAGGATTTGCTTGACTTTTGGCAATTTCAGAAAAGAACAAAGTTTAATTCTGTCAAAATACTTGATTTTTAACTTTGGGCACCACAGTCCCACATGACAAACTTAAGGGAAAACTTCATTCCTTGATCCATGGAGCTTTTGTTTCAAAACTTGGTGACCACAGATACAGTTACATACCTATCTGACCCGTGAAGATCCGGGTTAGAATTGGTCTTCAGCAACCCATGCTTGTCGTAAGAGGCGACTAACGGGATCGGGTGGTCAGGCTCGCTGACTTGGTAATCGTATCCCAATCACTGGATTGTTGGGTCCAGACTTGATTTTATATATAGACCGCCGTCATACAGCTGGAATATTGCTGAGTGCAGCGTTAAACAACAAACAAACACACAAAAATACCTTCAGAGGTTCAAGACAATTTGGTGTTTACATTTCACAACTTTTGAGATACAATTGAGCATGCTCTTTCTACCAACATTTCAAATAGCGACTCTTACTCAGAAGTTGCAAGGCCAAGCTTTCGAAAGGTTTTATGGTAGACGTGGGGAGGACATTTCTAAATTGTACGCATAAGTGACAAAATTTGTCCTATGCAATTCCCTATTTTGACTTGTACCATATGTTCCCGTATTTCAGGTGAACAACTGACTTGCCTTTGCTGTATTTGTGGCGGATGTCATCATATTTGATAGTGATTCATAAACACAAGTTCATGAAATAGTCGGGATCGTACAATCGATTCTCAAGAATTCTTATGAATATGGAAAGGATTTTGTCGGTTTTATTCAATATCCATGTGTCTAATGTAAAGAGGTTCTTAGCTTGAAGGCGGTCACGGGTGGCACAGACTTCTAAGGCGACATTATTCGTTGTGCAGAGTTATGTTTCCTGGACACGCCAGAATATGACCTTGGGTTCGAATCCTGGTTCTCTCCGATTATATTTCAAGGTTTGTTAGCACCTTACCCGTGCTCGTGGGCGATAAGCAACTCGTATTTTTCTTATATTTAGCACTAGAGTGCAGCACACGGGTCACAAATCAGGCTTAGTCACTCAGCCTTGTACAGCAGGTGGATCTGTTACAGTCTTCGCAACCTTGACTCCTAGTGTTTCTAGGGCTTCTGCCCAGTTCCACCTTGACTGTACTGACTCCGAGCAAACCAGTCCCTGTTTTAGCCCCTTAATGCCGAGCGCCAGACAGGGTAACAACAATTACCATCTTTTAACGTCCGCCGGGAATCAAAACCCGGACCTTCCGCTCTCCGGGCGGACGCTCTACCATTAGACCACGGGGGCGGTCCTCCAGCAGTGAATGGGTACATGGTAGGATGATGATGGTAATATGAATGCATGACCTCATAGCGCCTTAATAGGCAGCTGGTGTAGTAAACTCTCCAGGGGCTGATAGGGTAAATTAAATGCACTCAAATACCTTGACAGGGTTTATAATTTTGTTGTGTCGTGAGCGTGCTTAAAGGCATGGATATGGCAATATGCATATACTCTGCAAAAAAACACACGCAAAAGTAGTAAAATCGTAAATATCTGGCAGAGAGTTGCCGACATCCATATACAATTAATACCCAAAATGAATTGGTCATTTCTGCATGGATTGGGATTGATTTGTTTGGAAAGAATGAGGTACTTCAGACCTGGTGAAAATAGGAGAAAGTCGCAAAACCACAGCTACGTGAGAGCCTGACGCCGAAACACACGCACATGACATGCGTGTGCAACATCACTTGTTGGACTATAAAAAGGTTGGGTTTTCATTTGCATGTCATCACAATATTACAGCAAGTGAACAGCGAAAACATGCCACGACTGACGGAAGCGCAACGCAACAACGCCATTGGCCGACTGTAAACAGGAGAATTATCTTTAGCTGTAACAAGGTTTTTCCACGTAGTACCAAGCACCATTACAAGACTGTGGAACCGTTATCAGACACACGTGACATGTGACCTTCCCAGATCCGGTCGACCACTTATCAAAACTAGAGGACAGATTCACACGGCTAGAACATGCTGGAAGCAAGTTCTGGGGAACACGAATGAGATTCTTTGGCCACACGTCATTCCCATATACAACAAGCGAACGACATTTTCCAACAAGAGTGAGTGAGTGAGTGAGTATGGTTTTACGCCGCTTTTAGCAATATTCCAGCAATATCACGGCGAGGGACACCAGAAATGGGCTTCACACATTGTACCCATGTCGGGAATCGAACCCGGGTCTTCGGCGTGACGAGCGAACGCTTTAACCACTAGGCTACCCGACCGCCCCTTTCAAACACGACAATGCCAGACCACACACGGAAAGACGGACAACAGCCTGTTTTAGGAATCACAACATCCAGGTCCTGCCATGGCTCTCCAGGTCTCCAATCGAACATTTATTAGATGCACTGGATCAACGACAGCGAGCACGTCAGCAACAACCACAGAACCTCCGACAGTGCACAAGCACTGCAGGCAGAGTGGGTGAAGATTTCCCAGGCAACAATTCGGGATCTGATTGCTTCCATGGGACAACGAGGCCAGTCAGTTTTGAACTCTATTAATGGTGGCCATACAAGATATTGAGAACAGATTACCTTCACCTTGAAAATCTACTGTTCCATATGTGCCATATGGCACCTGGGTCATCGGCAGTGTGTGCCAGTTTTGAACAATCCATTACCATATGTTGATTATTTATATCATATATAAAAAAAATACATTCAAAAATATTACAAGGGTTCCCTCATCCTGAACTTCAGCTGGTACAGATGGTACAAATGCATGTACACCTTGTGTTAAATACATCAGCATAAAGCTCCTTTGAAAACAGCAGCCATTTGTCAGATACTACTCAAAACGTTAGGGACCACCTGATTTCTTTCAAATTACTTTAGTTAATTTGTCATGCCATGACAGATTAACTAAAATTTTAAGAAAGAAACGGAAGAACCTTAACATTTTTTCAGTACCCGTAGCATATATTGGTGTTACCATTAAAGCAACCCTTCTGTCAAACTGTACCAAAAATATACTTCTGTTCCTTGGTCCCCTGTTTCATCTACTAGTATATGACAGTATACAGATCTCTATTATGGACTTATGAACAAGAAAGCCAAGAAGACCAGGGATGATGAGGACACATTGTCACAATAGAGACAACGATAATTTGGTCAATTGACATAAAGCAACAAAAAAAGGTTTCACAAGCCTTGGATTGAAATCTGCAATGACTGGAAGCATTCATAAAATCCTGAACACGTCAATAAGGGATTCAAACTGCTGTCCATTGCACTCTCAGAGGGTGATACTGATGTTTAGAAAACAAATCCTCCATTTTACTTTTCAGAAAATTAAGTAAAAATAAATAACAGAGACACATAAACATTTAACATTTTATTTGCAGAAAGTCACCCCACTTTAGGATGCAGTATCTCTAATTTTAATCTGCAAAATAATTCACACATATCCAGATTATACAACAAAAACAACACAGGACATGAGAACTGTGAAGCATCCATGTACAGTTCTGTGCAGAAATACATACATCACTATGGGCCCAGCCAAGTACAGGTCTGTGCAAAAATACATACATCACAATTGGTCCAAGCTACACCTAGTATTGCACATGAATATTGTTACCACAGCGTGTACAAAATTGGCCGACACCTTGGTCTCAAAGTGTAATTTTTACTTGTGATAATATGCTCATAGTAAACTAAGTATTAAGCTTATGCTGGTTTGCCTGCTCTGGACGAGAACAACGGGCCAAAGAGCTTTGACCTATATACAACTCAGTATTCCAATGTATTCATGCAAGGTACTGTAATGTTTGTAGTTCCCGATCAAATTAATTTATGAATATCGCCTAACACCACATCAGCAATTTTGCAGCCATTCATGGTAATGCATTTCAATGAATGACAAAAATTAATTCTTGATTATAAAATTAATAAAATATTACAAACATTATTTCAAACTTCTATCTCTTAATTTCCAGTTCCACATCAATTTGTGAATTCATAAATATTAACATGATAAAGCAACAAAGAAGTTGTGTATTAAATAGAAAAGCAAATTTTACATCTGTAAAATAGATTAAGTGTTCAACCAATTAAATAGCAATGATGAAAAATGATCAACAGAGGTACAATACTGAACACTCATTTAAGGATTGATCCCTACTCCTTTAAACAACATCCTACAACAATACTTGTTTCCATACTTATCCAAACTATATAGCAGGAAACTGCCATATGTAAATCAAATTTAAAAAAGAAACATCTTAAAAATATATGTTATTGAGAATTCAGGACAATTATTTAATGAATACTTATGCATGTGTAGACCTACTTCATTCTAGACACATGAAACATTGTTTTCTCCACAACTATCAATACATTCCGCTGAGATACAAAGATTCTGTCAGTACCAACAAAAAGGTATTGTCAAGAAATCCTTCTCACATAGTAAATCACTAATTATATCAACAATTTCAATGTAATGAGAATAAAATGATTTCTATGAGGAAAGGTTGATAGGACATAATAATTCTGTTCTCATCCCCTGCAAGAAGCTATGAGTTCATATATTTCCATCATTAATATGTTCTGACAACAATATTTTGCCTATTATCATGATTATGAATGAGTTTCAGCACAAGATGACAAGATGTCCTTTTTAATCAGGTACAACCATATTTTACAGGTATTATGCACAAATCAACAGAACCATCGGTGTAACAATGGAAGAAATAATAAACATCAAAATGTAACAATTCTCTAGCAAAATGACCACTGTACAAAAAGGGTATCACATACACAAAAGCTGATTTGAGAACAGACAAGCACAATTAAATATTTGAGGAATATACACTAAATACAATCTGTTTATTCAATGTCTAGGAATGCAATACATTGTCGCATTAGGACCACTATCTTGGTGCTACGTCTACAGTTAGGATGTAGTATGATGCTTTGTACAAATACTGAAAGTCAGGACATGTTGATGTACGAAGTATCAAATGTGTTAGCATAATTTTAATTTGTTATTGGATTTGTAGCAGTTTGTCTAGTTCAATTTATTAAAGCTGGAATACCTCAAAGTAAAACAAACAAGTCAAACATGTTTCTATATCTACATGTACCTGGAGAAGTGCTGACAGGCAATGTGAGGTTGCTTGAATGACATTGTATTACTAAAAATAAAACAGGATTTCATTATTCAGTACATTTGGTTGAAATATCTATGCAAAAGCTTTCTGTATGTCTGGACAAATGAGAACAAATTCTTTTATGAAGATATTCTTCTCAACATAGTTTTCAATATTACAATAAGAATTTGATTAATAACATTAGGTATTTGTAATTTAAATGTATTTGATTTTTAAATGTGAAGTTTGAAATGTGAAAATAATCATGATTTATGTTATTTGATAGATTTTATTTGTGTAAGTCACTAGGTGAAAGAAGGCATGTTTTCATTGAGGTTTAAATACTAACAGGTTTAACAGTAACAATGAATGCTTTAGCAACTGCTAACAGACACTTCTAACAGACTGCAAGGCTTGTGCTTTTGGGCACTTTAATAATCTAAATTTTAAATATGATTAAATGCATATTATTTTATCGCAACAATCGCAATAATCACAATTGTGAAATTAATATCTTAGAATTGGTTTACAGGTTTATTAATAATCATAAATGTACATAATTGGAAATACATGATGGTTACTACAAGTACTAACACTAAAGCCTACACTGTGTAGCTGTTGTTTCTGCAATCTCACTAAAATCCGATCTTACTTCAATAAGATTCCTCTGTGTGAAGATCTGAAAACCCTCCACAGGATACTGTGTCAGGTGAAGCCTTCACCTACCAATCTAAAAGAAGGGTGTGTGGAGCCTTCAGCCAATCAGATGTTATCTTACAAATATGGCATCATTTCTTTACCACCTCGATTTTGACATTTTGATCATAACACAAAAAAAATGATACAGAACACGAATATCTCTTTCATTTTATACCTAGTTGGAGCAGTTCAATGGGACTCATATATGAGAGGGCGTATAAAATATCCAAAACAACATATTAGTCACCTGATGAAGGAGTAAGCATATACTCCGAAACGTTGTGTTCCTCATAATAAAGAAGTTAACATCCATAAATTCTCTTCCTTACGTGTTTCTCTTCTGAATGCCTTTCAAAAGCATATTAGAACTTCCATTCAGAATGTTAATTGGGTTCATTGTTCATTAGTGAGTGAGTTGGGTTTAACGTCACTTTTAACATTATTCCAGTTATATCACGGCATGTCTGCTTAATGTGGGAGGAAAGCCCGAAGTAATGCAGATGATAGCTCATAAGAAGGTTCACTTACAGCGGTTTTGTCAAATCTTCGCACAGAGAGGTATCACATGCAAGAAAAAGATCTGATTTTAATTAAATTGGTTGTTTCTAGTACTGGCTAGAAATACTGATCATATGAGGTATGGAGGTCCCTCTTCTAAATTGGGATACAAACTCAAAAAATCTGGTCTCTGAAAATGTACAACTAAATATTCAGTTATTAAAGCTAAAATGGTATCAACTAACAGAAAACGTAACTGACTTCATGCTCTAACAAATAATACATATTAACACAGGATAAGTTCAAAGATACCCAAATGCTAAATGAAAACGTCATATATGGATAGCCATTTGTGCAAATGCTTGTGTCCTGATCAATAAATAGACTTGTCTAATGTGCAGTCAGAATAGTTGGGTGTTATATTTGGCACATTTTGCAGTAAGATAGCAATTTGATTCCCCAGTCATGCCTCAGACGTGTGAAGACATGTTCACATTGGCATTGGATGAAAAATGCAAAATGTATGAAACCACTTCATTTTAATGAGTTATTAATGAACATGATGCACCAGGTATGGAATAATATTCTCCTTCAATAGCACAGCCAGGTGAAAATGTTGTAAAATGGCTGTCCTGATCATGTCATGGTCTGGAAAGATATTCATGGGAACATAATTTCAAAGCATAAATGTTTACTTTAAAAAATGTAGATATTGGTCTAAAACTATAAAACCAAACATCAAAACAAAACAGGCTGTCATTTTACTTCAAAATTTGCCTTACAATCTTGAATCAGCTAATGGTGGGAAGTAGCAAGTTCAAAGACAGATCTCTCCTTTGGAAGAACATCCAAGTCTGTCACCAGAGCCTTCAAGTGATATGTCAGATTCATGTCCTTGTGATTGATACAGACAATATGAGAAGTAGAATTTGATTGAATCAATCATTTTGATTAGAAAGAGGGAATATTGTTTCTGGTCGCTTCTAGCTACAACATGACCTCCCAAAGAAGTGATACTGTAACTGCATCTCTTTGGAAACCTACTACCGATTCTGACATGTTTCACACCCCACACAGGTGAACTGCCCCACAAGCCCAACAGTATCATAGCTTTATCAGATCCAGTGATGCCCCACCAAGGCTGGAATAGTTCTCGGCATACACATTCACAATGGCAAGAATTATATCAAACAAAATGCCTTATGACTTTCATGATCCATCTCACAGTCCATGCATCAATTTCGTTGTAATCAAAATTGAGTAGGTGACAGCGCGCACATAGAAGAATTTCAAAATGACTTTCTGCAAAGAAATTCAGCTCCCTAAAGCTATTGTTAATACCCCTGGGGGCCTGATGATAATTTCTGTAACTGCAAAATAGATAAATCTGTCAACATGTGAAAGGAACCTCCCAACTTTGCAAGATATAAAAAAAAGCTCATTTCCACAAATTATAAGCATGCGACATGATTTAGGTTGAGAAAAATCCCCATTAGCTTGTGTGGAATTGAATTTTAATGATTTCATATGAAATATTATCAAAGAGGAATATGTACAATTTCTGGAAAAACTGCAAAACTAAAGAATCAGTCTTTTCACATATTGCTTGAATTGTATACATCAACACTATCAGAATAAAAACTAGACTGAACTTATTTCAGGTTAAAAATTTAAATCAGATAATTCAGAAATTTTTCATGAACAAAAATCATAGAATTACGCCACTGTCATTTGTCAATGCTTTTAAGAATGTTCAAATCTTCTTAACAATATTACGATTTCCATAAAATTGGAAAAGCTCAACACGATAGACTTGGGCAAAAAAATTGGAGAATGGTGATTACTGATTTATTAATGTATCTAAATGAAACATATTTTGGTGATTTATATTTCAATCCTACATCATTGCCAACACAACGAGAGAATGCAACTTTTACCATCAGTAATTGTACTGCTGGTAGCAGTGAGCAATCGTTACAGAAAATATGTTCTTTAACCAAATAGAACAATGTATCATTAATAAAAGCGTAAGATGGATATTAAGCTACCATATTCTTACTTCTAGAAAATAGATTAATGTCTGAAAAATTCTACATGTATATTCTCTTTTAATCACATATTTTTAATAATGACAAACTGAGCAATTTTCAAGGAATAGCTGAAAATGTTAAGATATTAGTTTGTTGTCTGTCTAACTTATCATTTTGTTTATATGAAATGCAACATTAATGATATTTTAGTTTGTGGATGATACTAAGATGAGATCTGACCATATCTTCACATCAAAGTTTCCTCTTGTTACTAATGGACAATTTGAAAAAACATCAAGGATATAATTAATCCACTGATACAAGAGTCATTTCGCAAAGGTTGAAGACAACTTCTAGAATAAGAAAAGATGACATTTCAAGGATGTCAACAACATAAACTGGCATGTGAATATTCATCCACACCTAACATCTTACTTTACATGAGGTTAATAATGAAGTCATCATAACCTACATGAAGTTTTCAACCAGTACAAACAACTTTTCAGTAACGGTTACAAAAGGGTTATTGTTTATGCCTGTGTTTACCAATGATAATTGTATACAAATCTTGTAGTGTACAAGCAATGGGGTGAGAAAGTAATTGGCTGATACAATTCATGGTGGGATGTCTTGTTAGTAAATGATCAATAACAAGGTCCAGTCTTTCGTCATATTCTGCATGGACAGTTTTAAAAAATGCCACAGTATAGATCCTCTCTTCTGTAGTTTTAAAAATGATGTACCTAAAATTCCTGTCTGTCAATGTCAATGTATCAGCTGGCAAACAAATGTTAACATGAAACTATCCTTGAACATTGGGCACTTATCCTTGAACATTGGAGACTTATCCTTGAACATTGGAGACTTATCCTTTATCCTTGAACATTGGGGACTTATCCTTGAACATTGGGCACTTATCCTTAAACATTGGAGACTTATCCTTGAACATTGGAGACTTATCCTTTAACATTGGAGACTTATCCTTGAACATTGGAGACTTATCCTTGAACATTGGGGACTTATCCTTAAACATTGGAGACTTATCCTTAAACATTGGAGACTTATCCTTGAACATTGGGCACTTATCCTTGAACATTGGGGACTTATCCTTGAACATTGGGCACTTATCCTTAAACATTGGAGACTTATCCTTGAACATTGGGCACTTATCCTTAAACATTGGAGACTTATCCTTGAACATTGGAGACTTATCCTTGAACATTGGAGACTTATCCTTGAACATTGGGCACTTATCCTTAAACATTGGAGACTTATCCTTGAACATTGGGCACTTATCCTTAAACATTGGAGACTTATCCTTGAACATTGGGCACTTATCCTTAAACATTGGAGACTTATCCTTGAACATTGGGGACTTATCCTTGAACATTGGGGACAAGGGATGATAAGGTCTATTTTAGGCCCAGGTAGAATTACCAAATTAAAAAAAAATTGACAACGTTAATCTGAAGTTTTCCATATACTTTGAAAAAGGTCAAATTTAGTTGTCCTAAAATAATTCATCATTACTGTAAAAGTATTTGAGTATATCCAATCCATTCTGACAAGTCATCATAACAAATTTTACACTGGGACTGCATCTTTGTTTTCAACTGCTTTTATGTAGGGACTAACATTAAACGTTGAACTTCCTGAACCATGATTTTTCAATCAGTTATTGATAATTATTACCTGTAAGGGCTTCACAGCATTCTTCTGTACCATATTCACCATAATTACATTCCTGTTCTCAGCAAAAATTCAAGAATGGCACAACTCTTAATCATGGACAATATGCTAATAAAGGATGTGACAAGAAGTAGTCGATGACTCCTTTACCTTCCACATCTTCAATTTCAGATGCAGATGACAATACGTCTTTCTAGCTCTCCATGGTATGAATGATGCTTTTTGCTTTGAGTGCCCATACCAGTGGGATTCGGTGGACACACTAGAACTTAAAGGGGGCATTATGACTCTGGGTGCACTATTCCCAGTGATGTAGCACACCATTAGGTACGAAAATGCCATTTGGGACAAATAGAAGCAGGGCACCAAATATCTTGAATATGGAATAAATATTCATTGACATGCATTTCCTAATTTAAGAATGTTTGCACATGTCAAAACAGTGAAATTATTTGCCACATTTTCTATTGTCATGAATCAACAAAATTTCACTGTATAAATTAAGTAAATGTCTCCAAGCAGATTTGTGTATTATATCCTGAAAAAAACACATGATTTCATCACCAACAATTTAGGCTTATTTGTCTATGGAATAACAGATGATATAATTCATCTGACAAATGCACAACTCTCATATTACATAATCTTCTCTTTGAATATCCACTCTTTAAATCACATGACATCTATCCATCACACCCCAAATATGAATTTGGTATTACCCAGGCCTTGTTGACCAGTACAGTTCATTCTGGAAGCAGGGTTGACAGGTTGGATTTGTCTCAGACATTGGACACACAGTGATATATGTTGCGTCCACTTTGTGCATGGTTCATCATCTTTATATTAAAGTCAGTTGCCAGGATAACATCTTTCATACATCCAACATAGCCTGAACTGAACTTTCCCAGTGAATTCTGCGAAACATCCGGCATACCACCTGGAAAACAGAAGCAGAGTGTTAACCACATATCTGAAGAAAGATAAAATTCTTCCACATCTTCCACTTCATCATGTGATATAGTATTTCAACACTTCATCATGAGATGTACAGTTTGACTGTCTGACTGGGCTCCTGCCATACAAACATTAGAAGAGCCCCCACATTTTAACCACCACCTCTTGGCTAAAAGCGTTAAGCTTGCATTGTGTACCAATAGTGGAACCAGTTTAATACACAGTGGACTTTTCCTGCTCTCCATCCTGTTACACTAGCCTATATACACAGTGAACTGTTTCTATATCTTATCATGTGAAATACACAGTGGATTATTCCTACACTTTATAATGTTAAATCAGCCTACATACAAAAGTGGAGTAAAATAATGGACTATTATGTTGCTGGGGACCTATTCTAACCCAGAGCCCATAAGGTGATATAATAATGGACTATTATGTTGCTGGGGACCTATTCTAACCCAGAGCCCATAAGGTGATATAATAATGGACTATTATGTTGCTGGGGACCTATTCTAACCCGGAGCCCATAAGGTGATATAATAATGGACTATTATGTTGCTGGGGACCTATTCTAACCCAGAGCCCATAAGGTGATATAATAATGGACTATTATGTTGCTGGGGACCTATTCTAACCCGGAGCCCATAAGGTGATATAATAATGGACTATTATGTTGCTGGGGACCTATTCTAACCCGGGTCCAAACAAGGTGATAATTATGGACTATGAAGTTGCTGGGGACCTATTCTAACCCAGAGCCCATAAGGTGATATAATAATGGACTATTTTGTGGCTGGGGACCTATTCTAACACGGGTCCAAACAAGGTGATAATTATGGACTATGAAGTTGCTGGGGACCTATTCTAACCCAGGGCCCCACAAGGTGATAATAATGGACTATTATGTTGCTGGGGACCTATTCTAACCCAGGGTCCAAACAAGGTGATAATAATGGACTATTGTTCTGCTGGGGACCTATTCTAACCCGGGTCCAAACAAGATGATAATAATGGACTATAATGTTGCTGGTTACCTTTTCTAACCCCGGTCCCCACAAGTTGACATATATACACAATGGCAAATTCCTATCCTATTCTAAGTATTAACTTTGAAACTGCCAGATTTAAGATTCCTGGATTTGGCTGTACGACAACAAAGTCTGGAAGGGACCTGAGATCAGCACACATTTTATGAGACCACAGGAGCCATCACCGAGGTTGTGAATGGAACATACATAGCACAACTGGCGACAGCTGATGTGTATTCCTCCTCCAGGGAAAAGACTTATGTAGTATTTATGATGTTAATCTTAGCATGATGTAGATGTCCATTACATGAGGAAAGTTCAATGACATGTCACTTGAGTCTTATTGTCATCCCTGTCATCAGTCGACTTCCAGGAAGACAAACACAGGACATGCTGTTTGGAAGACGTCAGATAACATTTCAGGGCTGGACTTTCCTAGAAAATAGACACTATACGACATGTCTTCTAGAGAACTGAATCTAAGACAATCACCATTGAATGATGCTTTACCTTTGACAGAGATGGTATGGTATACACTAACTGGTTTTGTTGAGGAGTAATTATCATCAGATATTACTTACAGAAAGTATTTCAAAAGACATGTAAAGACAACATTACTTGATTACTGTGTTCTGTGCTAAAGATAAAATTATTGACACATGGCACGCATGACATCATTGTCTAGGCACTGTGCTAATGACGTCATTGTTGAGGTTCTGAACTTAAGATGTCAATTGTTGAGGTACTGAACTAATCATGTCATTGTTGAGGTTCTGAACTTAAGATGTCAATTGTTGAGGTACTGAACTAATCATGTCATTGTTGAGGTACTGAACTAATCATGTCATTTGTTGAGGTACTGAACTAATGACGTCATTGTTGAGGAACTGAACTAATGATGGCATTGTTGATGTACTGAACTAATGACGTCATTGTTGAGGTACTGAACTAAAGACGTCATTGTTGAGGTACTGAAATAATGATGTCTTTGTTGAGGTACAGAACTAATGACATCATTGTTGAGGTACTGAACTAATGACGTCGTTGTTGGGGTACAGAACTAATGACGTCATTGTTGAGGTACAGAACTAATGATGTCAATTGTTGATGTACTAAACTAATCATGTCATTTGTTGAGGTACTGAACTAATGACGTCATTGTTGAGGTACTGAACTAATGACGTCATTGTTGAGGTACAGAACTAATGATGTCAATTGTTGATGTACTAAACTAATCATGTCATTTGTTGAGGTACTGAACTAATGACGTCATTGTTGAGGTACTGAACTAATGACGTCATTGTTGAGGTACAGAACTAATGACGTCATTGTTGAGGTACTGAACTAATGACATCATTGTTGAGGTGCAGAACTAATGACGTCATTGTTTAGGTACTGAACTAATGACGTCAATGTTGAGGTACTGAACGAATGACGTCATTGTTGAGGTACTGAACGAATGACGTCATTGTTGAGCTACTGAACTAATGATGGCATTGTTGAGGTACTGAACTAATGACATCATTGTTGAGGTACTGAACTAAGGACGTAATTGTTGAGGTACTGAACGAATTACGTCATTGTTGAGGTACTGAACTAATGATGACATTGTTGAGGTACAGAACTAATGATGACATTGTTGAGGTACTGAACTAATGACATCATTTTTTATGCATTGGACTGGTCCATTCTCCTCATGACTTCACTGTTGACATACAGCACTCATACTGTTATTGTCAGCGTACTGAATTCATTGTCAACCTTAAAACCTAGGAATTCATGTAGTTCCACAGGCCATATATAATATGCTATATGTACTCACCAATATAAAGTATTTTGTTAGTATTAAGTACTGTGTAGCTGCCGGGGGCACTCCCTTCAACGATCTCTGTGCTATCAATCTCCAGGTATGCGTCTTGCTTGTCCCTGCAATACAATGGATACATTTTATAAAGTATCAGATTATCCACAGGCAAGAGATAAACTTCATGTGCAGGGAATGAAGATGTCCCATGCACTACAGGAAGTGCATGCTGTGGAAAACCAAGCTGAATCTCAATCACCACTCTTCTACCCAAAATTCCTTATGGTCAACCTAGTAGCCTTGCCACAAGCTTGCCAGATGTGATGATTTGTCACATCATACACAGTCCTTTCAACAAATTACATTCATTTTTCACCTGTTTCACTTTTGAATAATCTATACATCTAAATAAACATGTGTCTTTTCATTGAGAAAATATTGTAACATGTGAAAGGCTTCCATTCAGGCCAGCCCACTCTGATTTCAGAAGAAGCTTGTTTGTTTATAAAAGGTGAGGTGAGGTGAAATTGGGATTAATTTCGCGTCCAAGATTATTGCACTTATATAGCTTACTACAGCAGTGTGTGTGTGTGTGGCTGCTTGTACTAGTCCGGACTGATGCCGATTTATAGTGCTAGCACACTGAGATACCATGCCGCAGTTTAACATGAATACCCCACTCAGACACAGTATACTGACTCCGAGCCGACCAGTCCTTGTTTTAGCCCCTAAATGCCGAGAGCCAGACAGGGTAACAACAAGTACCACCTTTTAACGTCTTTTGGTATGATGCGGCCGGGATTGAACCCCGGACCTTCCGCACTCCGGGCGGACTCTCTACCACTAGACCACGGAGGCGGTCTGTTTATAAAAGAATAGTGGCTCATGTGATATGCAAATTAACTTGAGACAGTGTTTGCTTGTTTATTTGTTCGTTTGTTGCTTAACGCCACACTCAGTAATATTGCAGCTATATGACGGCGGTCTGTAAATAATCAAGTCTGGACCAGACAATCCAGTAATTGACATCATGAGCATTGATCTACACAGTTGGGACATGATGACATGCATCAATAAAGTCAGCAAGCCTGACCACCCAATCGCGTTAGTCGCCACTTATGACAAGGATAGTTTCCTCTCATGACAAGCATGGGTTGCTGAAGACCTAATCTAACCCGGATCTTAACAGGACTTGAGACAAAGATCTAATGCTAGGTCATCACTGCGCCATAATGTACCCCATGACATGACCCAAGGTTATCATGGGACTGCTTGTTTAATTCAAAATATCAAACACAAATTTGTTAATGTAATAAAATCAAACATCACAATTAAGTATAATAAGAATGTCAACCACTAACATCCTGCTGTGCAGTGACGTATCTATCAGGATAACATCAAACACCTTCAGGCATCATGTACAACAACATGTTCATGTTGCATTTGTTGAAACCACGAGATAATAATATTTGCTACCAAATGTCTCTCACTGAAGTAACTCACTGACACACTTAAGGAATGAAACTCACCACTACGCATTTCCACATTATGGTGTCTTTGATGACTGGTGCCTGCCTCCCCCCTCCCCTACCCCCACCCACCCAACACACACACACTAAAAGAGTCTCTAAAATGTATGACTGAGCTAAAAACATTTAGGTTTTTGTAAGGCATTTAAAAGTGATACACATAAGGAAGAGAATATATGGCTGTCAACTTCTTTATTATGAGGAACACAATGTTTGGGAGGACATGCTAACTCCTTCATTGGGTGAATGAAGGAGAAAGCATATACTCCGAAATGTGTTCCTCATAATAAAGAAGTTGACATCCATACATTCTCTTCCTTAAAAACATTTACCTTAATTATATTGTTTTGATAAAAAATATACTTATGTATTGTTTGCAGCACTTAAAGTCATCAAAGTGATTATACCTACCAAGAAAGTTAATATTTCAGTGTGTCATACAAACATGAAAATGGAAAACTCTCAAAGGGAATAAAAACCTCCTTTCACAAAAATATAATGACATACTAATCTAATAATCTCTTTTTTCAATAAAGAAATATCGCTGAAGCATCATGTGACATTTGACAACTATTTTCTTTGAGATCAAGAGTATTTCAAGAATAATCTTTCTGTGAAAAACAATATGCAAAGATTGGGATTAGCGTACGCATGATAATGCCTGATGCTAATGAGTCTAGGATGTGGTCATGTGACATCACCAAAAAAGGATGGAAAAAGGAATCATCTAGAATATGACAAAATATATACACAAAAAACAACTGAAATAGTTTTTCATGTGTTTACTAAATTGTGCATAATTCTGACTTCTTCAAAAAGTAATATCTATACTATGTATGTTAAGGGAACAATGTGTGAAACTTACATATTGTCTGTGTTATTAGGGAAACCATTCAGTACTAGACTGACAAATGTCATAAAATATGGTTGGTTAGTTGGTTTGTTGTTTTACGACGCACTCAGCAATATTCCAGCTATATGACGGCAGTCTGTAAATAATCGAGTCTGGACCAGACAATCCGTTGACTGATATCATGAGCATTAATCCACGCAATTAGGATCGATGACATGCTTCAGCCAAATCAGCGAGTCTGACCAGCCGATCAAGTTAGTCGCCTCTTACGACAAGCATGGGCTGCTTAAGACCTATTCTACCCAGGATCTTCACGGGTCCATAAAATATGAGATTACTGACACACAATGTAATTTTGAATGACTTGAATCTAATTTGCAAGGACTACCAACTGGTCCAGTCCCTCGTCATGTTTGCAAAACTTAAATCCAAAGATGTAACAGGTAAGGTGAGCATCTGGAGGCTAAAAAAAACCTCTTAAATTTCTTTTGCCAAAATAGAAAAAGGTTTGGATGTCAAGATCTAGTCTCTGAACAAAAAATCTATGAGCGTAATTGCTGTAGTCATAAAGGGCACATGTTCCCACTGAATGATTTTCAGAGCTTGGGGCAATAATGTTACAGACACAATACCATGGACAATTCAAAATGGCAATGGCACACAAGTGCAGGGTTTGCATGAGTGACCCATGTAGCAGGGTCCTATATATGCAGATGTGACCCACTGCAATATGCCAGCCATGACTTGTTGCCATGAAGTATACTGAAGTTCCTAACATCACGTTGCCATGTTGTAACACTCTCTTGTCATCCATTGCAAGACACACAAACCCATTCTCATCGTCCACATCATGGAGCGGACGACATTACATCAAGACTGAAAACATTCGTCTGTTGTTCTTGTAATTGATTCCACACTGGTCTCCTCAGACATCTTTGCATGTCAACTTCCCAACGGTTACAGGCATGCATCACAGCCCATGGTGGACACACACAGAATATATCGTGTCAAAGTGACCCTGCCTGTGTTCATCCCATCAATGATGTCAGTGACACCTGGTTCCATGATGGTAACACGCTTTACCATGTTTCAAAAAAACATGACTGACCTTTGCGTACATGCCCAAAGTCTAAATTAATTACAACTTGATCTCAATATCCATATCAATGCCTCTTCATACACAATTATCCTGTATGCCTTTCCATTCTTCCTTCAGTCATCAGCACAACATCTAGGGCACCCTAAACCATTCCTAAAGTTAGTCAATGAGGACTCTGTCTGCAAGTTTTGTCACTTGCCTGAAAACCTGAGTCTAGTAAATTTGGTCAGGTAAGCTCAGCTAATAAAAGTCCATATCATAACACTAAAATGTACAAAATATTAAGCTAAGAGCAAAGTTTGGGCTAGTAGCTCAAAAGTTTTGGCACAGCCTGCAATGTCTTATCTGCATACTTGTGAACAATTGAGTGGAATCGGTAACTAAACAGTCATGGTTCAAACCCAAGTGACAGGATCGAAAAACTACCTTACTGGTATGTTGATAACAAGAAATATCCCAAATCAAGGTAGACTTAGTGTTATGTACCATATTTTCTTGAGTATAGTGCGCACCTTTTTCCAAAAAAACACAGCTATGTAAAAGAAGGTGCGCATTATGCACGCTATAATGAGTTTTGATGGGTTTTTTCCCCAACGCAAAGACATTACCATGAACACCGGAAATACAATGTCAACAAATCCGTACTGAAGTATTCAAATTAATCAATCAATTTGTGGCAAAAGAGTGTGTATCCACAATATGTGTCAAAGTGAATGCCAGACTAAGGCATAGAAGAAATCCTTGATGTTCATGGTCAATAAAGAAATTTAGAAAATTGGACCACTCATCCAAAAAGGACAACAACATACATGAAGTATGCTCAGCAGGTGTGGGAGGGATATACACACATGAGCACATATATATATATATATCCTCCTCCAGCCCCAATTAACTTCAGGCGGATCAAGCAGTACATATCCAAGCAACAGAACAGCCACGTCGGAATGCCTATGTCAAACATTGTGAGATTACAAATCAATTTCCTCTTCAGCAGATGAATAATTTATTAAGTGAGAGTCAGAAAAACATCATTTTACTTCCGATATGGAGCTCACTGCCAGTGATTTCCCCTGAGACACCCTCGCGGCAAAAAAGTCCGCAACTGCCTCTTGCCACATTTCTGTCCATCTGGAGGCGAATTGCATTCAAAGACAAGATTAGTTTTTTCTGAACCCACTCCTTTCCAGCCGTGGAATAACACAATAACAATTTGCTGTGTACAATCAATAACTGCTTTTTGAAATATAACCATCCCAAGGAAATCATGTCACAAAATATACATGGAAAAAGAGGGCCTAGTCAGGCTCTTCATGTATTATTCATTGGCGTTGAACGCATCCTGTGTTGTTTTTTGCTTGAAATGTGTACAGCTTTCAAACCGTGTTCTCGCCATATGCATACATGTGAAGGGACGGAATGATAAACAGCATTATGACTCTACATAAACAACTATAAATATGAACCAACATTAAAACAATTTCAGCACCATTATTTTCAATTACAAAATCTCATTCACAATAATTAGTGTGAATTACTGGAACCCTGCTTGACAGATTGCTCTGATGGTTGAGGCCTAGTTATTTTGGGGAGATTTGTGGAATCTGCTAAACCTTTACTACAATTAACATTGCAGTGTTGGAA